TCGTACAAGTTTTGATCTACCAAGGCGGAGAAGTGTTTTGAATAACCAATCAGATTTCATTATTGCCTGTCCTCTCTGCTCCACGCCGCTGCCGCTGTTAAATTCTATAGAAAATGTTGACGGCCCGACACTTCTAAGCTCTGCTCCGCCTTCATGGAAACCGGGCCTAATGCCCGTCAAATCTTTAGTGACCCCTATGGTAACAAAACAAATAACAGGAATTTTGTTTATGTAGGGGTCACTTAAAAATAAGGGATTGATGGTGAAAATGGGCATTAGATAGGTAGACTCTCTGCTCATGCACATGGATTCCGATGTATCCATTCAGCAGATACATAAAGTCGCTTACTCCGCAGCAAAACCTGATGCCCGAGGAGTCGTCGTCGAAGTCGGAGGCGGTGTTCCGGTTCACGGTGCTCAACTTCAGAAATTGTTTACTATTTCTGTAACAGTCCACGAGGTTCAGAATTAGCGTCCTCTCGAACCAGCAGTCTGATACCTAAACCGTTACGCTATTATCGCCCTAAAAGTAGACAAATAAAGTTGCTAATCCCACAGCAAAACCTGATGCCCGAGGAGTCGTCGTCGAAGTCGGAGGCGGTGTTCCGGTTCACGGTGCTCAACTTCAAGACGCGGCGGCGCTCGGTGGAGTCGCGGCCCTTCCACTTCCACGAGCTGCCGTGGAGCATCAAGATGGTGCCGCGGTTTGAGAACACCACCAGCTTCTCGGAAAGCAAGTTCTTTGGATTGTATCTCAGGTCAGTTGCTGTTTGCTTATGTCCATGACTTTATAATATTTCAACGGTTTCTTCGTTACACGATTTTCAACGGACACGGTTTATGGACAACATAAATGACTATTCTGTACTGTAATCAGTACTAATTATGTAAGCGGCTCCCGCTTTTATTTATGACATATTGCTTCTATTTTACTTTACCAACATAGGATAAGTGAATATTGTTACTATCACGACTGTGGACCCCGGCCTGACAGTTAAACTATTTCATTTTACATTACTTCCTTAAATTATAAGATGTCCAAGTTAGAATAATAACTCGCAGCTTCTGTTTCATTAGGCTCTGGAGAACACCGATGAGATTGAGTGGTTAGTTCCCGCCAGAAGGGCGGGAACTAACCACTCGGTGGGGAGAGTCTCTCATAACCCACTAATCGTTCCCAACCAAACACCGGTGGGGAGAGTCTCTCATAACCCACTAATCGTTCCCATCGGTATCCACAAAACCTTTCCTGACGGAAATATAGAACCGATCGTTAATCGCTAGGAGAAAAATGAGACCTTTGTACAGCAGTGAACGTCTTTTGGTTGAAGAAGTTAGGCCCCCACGCTAGTTCGAACTTGTCGTCTCTCGCCAACGCCTGCGAAGAGTCAACGTGGCGCTGGCTTAACGCCGCTTCGTAGATTCGACGTTCGACAGGCGCCCAGTATTGGCGCAGCATCGACGCTGCGCTGGCGCAAACATGATGACGACGCTCAAAAACCCTAATTTCTGATATTTATGTAGATTTACAATTCTTTCTTTCTTTTCAGCCAAATGACGTCCACTGCTGGACAAAGGCCTCCCCCAAGGTTTTCCACAATGAACGGTCCTGCGCTGCCCGCATCCAGGCTCTTCCCGCGACCTTTACAATAGTACAACATTTTCACCGCTTTATTCTCTACCGTTCTCGTGCGTCTTCCTTTTTATTTTCAAGCAAGAGCTGAAAATCAGTGTTCTGCTCATTTTAGAGCAGTGTCTACACTGAGCTCTCTGCTTTTTTGCATCGCTGCGGCACACATATACCTTAGCGCAGGATTTTCTTTTTTACTCTTTGTTATGTAGGTACTATATCTTTCCTGCTACTCCTGTGTTTATTAATCTTACTTTTTGCTTCTGGTGTGTCAATGTGTTTTGCAAATCCCAACTAATATTATAAATGCGAAAGTAACTCTGTCTGTCTGTCTGTCTGTTACGCTTTCCCGCTTAAACCTCGCAACCGATTTTGATGAAATTTGGCATAGAGATAGTTTGAGTCCCGGGAAAGAACATAGGATAGTTTTTATCCCGGTTTTTGAAACAGGGACGCGCGCGATAAAGTTTTTCTGTGACAGACAAAATTCCACGCGGGCGAAGCCGCGGGCGGAAAGCTAGTAAACCATATATCTATCTATCTAGTTCTGTATTTACCTATGTATTGTTGTGCCGCAGATGCGAGGGCATCAAGGACAGCCAGTGGGCGGTGTCGGTGCGCGCCGAGCTACGGCTGGTGGCGCAGGCGCCGCGCGCGCGGAACATCGCCATGCAGATACACAAGACCTTCACCAAGTAAGCCCGACCTTAACACTTAAATATATTCAAAACTGCCACGCGGTCTCGTGCTAGATGGGCCTTAAAGGCCACCTTCTATCAACGGGAGCGCGTGGTAAGTAACTTGCTTCCGAATGTATTGTAACTTCCTACTTTTTTATATTTTTAAACCGGCAGACAGTGGTGACTGAGTTTGTTGCGGCGCTTCTTCTCAGCACTTGCCAAATGTTTGTCTCGAAGCGCTGGTAGGGCAAAAAAAGAATGAGACATGTGTAGGCTCCTTAAGAACATTTGATGATTTGCAAGAACTAATTTAATTAGACTAAACAAATAAAGAAAATTTTGATTTTGATTTTGAACACAAGTGGATAAGGCTCAAATCGTGGTGGCAATATAATTATGTACTTATAAAAGTTAGGCTTAATGAGGGTTTTCGCGAATGAAAATCCGCCAGATGGCAATACGTAGACGCGAGGTCCAAATGCTGCATGATTGGTTATTTTTGACATGACATTGACAGATATGTCAAAATCCACCAATCACGCAGCAGTCAAACCCCACATCCACGTCCCGCCATCTAGCGGATTTTTCATTCGCGAAAACCCTCATTAAGGCCATGATTTCCCAAATTGTCGATATTTGACCGATTTTGTTTGCAGATAGCTTCTAAATGAAAAGGTATTTTAGCAAACAAAAAATTGTACGAGTAAGTTAATGTCTTTAACTAGGGCGACAACTTTTCCAAAACACGATATTGCATAGTTTATCCGATAAAAAAAAATCCCAAAGAAGTACGTCGACGGCTTTTTTGTTTTACTCTCATATATTCATTTTTAACATTTTACACTTAAAATATATACTAATAGATAGGACTTTGTATTTTCTAGGTCGACAACTTTTCAAACTTTTGTTATTGCGTCTTATTTAGTTACTATGTTGAAAAAATGTGAAAAAATCGGCCATGACGGCTTGGACAATCTTAATCAGTCGCGCGGTGGCGCTTACGGAGGACGGACGCGTGTCAGTTTTATTTGATTTTTTTATTCATTTTTCCTAACAAACAAAATTCGCCGAACTTATAAAACACGTGTAACTTAAGTGAATGACAAAAGTTCTCGATCGCAGCCTTTGAAGGTCCCATTTTTGGGTTTTTCGCTTATATCTCAGAAACTGTCTAAATAAATAACTATGCGTCCTAGGGATATGACTATTGCAACAAAATGAAAACTCATTTAATTTACTACTTTTATCAGTCAAGTTTTTCGATAATAATTATCTTGTATGGTTTTCGAGATATCTGCTCTTCATAGTTTTGTAAAACTTAAACATTTTTGCCTTATATTTTCAAATAATTATGAGGAAATAGTTGCCATAATTTACAATTAGATGATAATTTTAGGTACTTTTTTATGATGAAAGAATATAAGGCGAGTCATCAATTCTGATGTTTCACAAATATTTAAACATGCTGAATTATAAAACTAGATGGCGATACAGTTATTTAATTGATACCATAAATAATTATTTTACTGCTTGAATCTGAGTTACAAATTCTAAAAGGGCAGAAGAGGACCTCTAGGCAAGTTGTTTTGAGGATTTTTTACTATTTCTGGGTTTACAATGATTAATTTAGAGTCATTTGCTTAAATATAATAGCCAAATGTAAAAGAACATTAGTACATATTTCATATTAAAATGGAGTTTACATTTTTGTGATCATTTACTATTTTTGTCGGTAAAAAGTAAAAGTATTTGTTTGACTTAATATCATCTTTCATTTGACATTATTGATTGACAAACATTTGTGTGCATGAACATTATAATAATGTTTGTTTCGGGCTGGGTGTTTTCTAACCTTATGTATTTATTTATGTTATGTTATTTAAGTATGTTCATATCCCATAGTACAAGCTTTGCTTAGTTTGAGACTAGAGGCGCAGTGTTAAAATATTATGTCGAAGGATATTTAATTTTATTATTTGTTTATTCACTATTTGAAGATTACGGTTTAATCCAACTTACGGCTTGTTTTTACACTGTGGCGTCATCGCGTCGCGCGAATGTCAGCGCGAGTGTCAGTGCGAGGTGTGCGGGGGCTGAGGTAAACGAATGCACGGCATCGAGGCGGTAAATCCTAGCCTTAAGTGGGACTTTCCGATATGTTCGTTCAATGACTGTTCTGAGATTCTTCTTTGTCGCTATACTCTTGCAAGAGTGTTCGTGGTCGTGTTCTGCGATACGGTGTAAAAAAAGAATACTTACTGGATGTTAGATTTATAGACCACGCATCACGTGACCACATCCCTCTTGAAACGATTATTATGTCTTAATTCGTCCATAGGATGTAATTATTGCACTGGGGCAGGTCGAGTAGCGACTATAGATGACCCACGCTGAACTGTCCCACCAAACTCAATGACAGGAGGACGCTACCATCGTTCAACTATATGGTTTCCAACATGGCAACAATCGGAACCAGCGATCTGGTATTGACTGTGGCGTCCTTGGAACTATATCACCATGGTGTGTGGAGTTTATAACTCATCTCTGGGAAAAAGATAAAGGGATGAGCGGTGTCGCCTTACGTCGACGCAACGCAACGTCCTGAATGCGTTCTGGCACTGACATGTCGTAACGCAATGCAGGCCGCTATCAACCGGGCATTGTGGAAATCATTGGGGAGGCCTATGTTCAGCAGTGGACGTCCTGCGGCTGAAATAGAATAGAATAGAAAATATTTATTGGTCTCAAAACAGGTTTCATTTACAGTTTTTCACAGATACAAAAATCATAAGAGACAAAAAGGTCTATGACTCAGTGATTGCAGGAGACCCACAAACCCTGTTATTCTGCCATAGCCAAGATATACATAAGCAAATAAATATTAATTTATACTTAAAATTACAATTTCCTAAAATTACAAGTTGCTATGTGAAATTATAATTAGCCAGTGCCAGCGATTGCTCTTGAAGCAGCCAGTTGCGACATCTTTTGCGGTAGCAAATGATGATGATGTCGCAACACAAAGGCGTGTGCTGCGCTTTTTTTTAATGGGGATGTTGCCTGGGTCAAAAAGCAAGAGTTTTAATTAGTCCGTCAGTTAACTTATCAAAAAATACTCTACAAGTATTTTTCACTTTTTCAAACTAATGAAAATTTAAAGAGATAAAGCGCCCCAAAGTTCATAAGAAGAGGCCCGTGACGTCAACGCTTGCTTAAAAATGCCGCACGTTGTGACGTCGTGCGCAACTTTAACGCACCATAACTATGTAATTATTTGTTAGATTGACAAATAAAAATATATGTGTCCAATATTTTTTGATATTAAACATTACGGACTAAAAAAATTTTTTTAGGCAACTAGCCTATTGCTGACCTTGTTCCGCTGGATGTAGACGGGCCGGTTGAACATGATGTCGAGCAGGTGGCGGTGCGGCACGCGCGCCGTGTAGTGCGTGTAGATGACGTCAGTGGCTGACCTTGTTCCGCTGGATGTAGACGGGCCGGTTGAACATGATGTCGAGCAGGTGGCGGTGCGGCACGCGCGCCGTGTAGTGCGTGTAGGTGAGCCGCGCGCCGTCCGCGTCGAGAAGATGCGCGTAGAGCAGCTCGCTGTAACTGGCCGCTGCGCTAACCGCGACTCCGCTCTCTTCGCACGGCGCTTGCGTCGGCACCTGAAGTTTTAATGACGTTGAAGACAGGCCGCTTGTACACGCTAAGAAAAGTCGCCGGGCCTACGCTAGAATTCGTATCGTTTCTACACACGAACCATACGTTGCTCCGGCGCTAACCAACAAATAATACTTGACTGCGCTAGATACGGCACGCGGAGAAGGCGCACTATGTGATACGATAAATTTTCGTAGCTGGGTCCAACGAAATTCTTGTCTTGTCTGCGGTAGACACGGTGTTTCTTAGCGTGTACAAGAAGCCTTAGGATCTGCGATTTTTCTAACCAGGTCAAAGATTATAATTGTGACAGCCCCTTCCTAACCTAAATAAAGTCGACGCGAATAGTGTCATTTATATTTTTTTCACAAAGCACCCACTTCTTTCAATCTGGAATCACCTTAGACTGCCGGCCGGGGCAGTTTAGATCCATGCTTGAGATAATCAATTTGACGTCTTATGTGGGTGCAATAGTTCATATTTTGCTATAAAAATTGAGGAATCGGCCCTGCACACGCTACGGTGATGTGAGGACGCGGATCTTCGCGAAATTGAAGCAGGCGGTTAAACTATACAACGTAAAACTATACAAGACCTGAGCAAAGGGCGTATTGGCGATATCTTTTAACAAGAATAACACACACCTAGGGCTTTGCCATACTGGCGTGTTACAAGCGTTTTCAAAGCGGAGCAACAACGCAGCGAACACCCCGCGTGTCCGCGGCGAAAACGCCGCGGCTGCGTGGCGAACACTACGCGGCTTGTTGCAAGCGTTTACTAAGCGGAGCGGTGACACGCTTGCAATCGGCCAGTGCAGTGTGGCAGCTCACTTAGGGTCGCTGAGCCATCGATGTAACTACATGTAGTCTGGTCAGCGAGCACGTAGAATTTTGTCCAATGACCCCATGCTACCCATCCTTATCGCTCGCGCGTAATTATATTGCTGTCGCGACTGTGCGACGGGCGCCCGCAGTGAGTGTGCGAGCGCGACAGCAATATAATTACGCGCGAGCGATAAGGGTAGCTTGGGGTCATTGGACAAAATTGTACGTGCTCACAGACCGGGCTTTATACCTGCACGCCCAGCAGACAGATGTTCTTGTCCACCATGAAGGTGACGGAGCAGTCGAGCACGGAGGCGTTGTAGCACTCGGTGTGCTGGATGATGGCGCGCGTGCAGTACAGCTTGCTGAACTCCGCGCTGTGCCGCTCCACGTGCTCCAGCCGCTCCGCCATCACCGGCGGCACGCGCACGCCTGCAATGGATATTACACCGAATAATCATATTGCTTCGATTATTTAACCGCCTCTGTGGTCTAAAGCCTGGTCCGTGAGCACGTAGAATCCCGTCCAATGACCCCAAGCTACCCATCCTTATCGCTCGCGCTTAATTATATTGCTGTCGCGACTGTGCGACGCGCGCCCGCAGTGAGTGTGCGAGCGCGACAGCAACATAATTACGTGCGAGCGACAAGGATGGGCAGCTTGGGGTCATTGGACGGGATTCTACGTGCTCACGGACCAGGCTTTAGTGGTAAGACCACCTGCTTCAGACCGCAGACGCAGAGGTCCCGGGTTCGATTCCCAGTGGGGGCAGATTTTTCTGTTCAGTTTCGTTGGTGGTAGGGCTTGTTCTAAGTCCGCCTGGCTAGCTACCACCACCTTACCTAAGTCTGTCGCCATAACAACAATGTTAACAGCATTGTTGTGTTCCGGCAGTTAGAGGTAGATAGCCAGTTCCTCCGTGGTTGAGGATTCCGGGTGAAGCTCGCTTCCACCTTCGGCCTGATCGTCACTTACCATCAGGTGAGATACAGGCCAAGAGCTTCCTCGTTGTGGATAAAAAAAAAAGATTAAAAATCAAAATGTTGCTTCTGGTAAATTAGCACGGGTCATCCTCCTG